TTCCCAGATCACACATTGTCCAGCTCTGCCTTCCTCTCCCACCTGGCAAGCAGGTTATTAGCAGTCACTACTCTATAGTGTTCCAACCTGACACGGAACATACAGCATCTCATTTATCACTGCCATAACCCACTGTGTGCACAAAGAAACAAAATCTTAGCAAAATTCATCTGTCAAAGGTCACGAGGCAAGTGAACGGCCGATACATGACTCAAACCCAGATCTGCCTGCAAAGCCTTTGTTCTTTCCACGATGCCGTTCTTTCTTCCCAAAGGAATACATCTGTCAGCCCGAACGTGGCTCAGCTTCTTACAGCTTGAGAGTGCACATTTTCCTTCGTCAAAGATGAAGAGCCAGTTCCGATACTTCAGAGAACAGCATCAAAGTAAATTGCACCCAGAAGTATGTCCCGAGCAGAAGTATTTTCCCCACACGCTGCCAGTTATGCTCCCTCCTTGCCTGCTGGTGCTAAGACAGCTGTGCAGGCTTTCCTGAGAAACGTTATCATCAGGGCTGCAGTCTAATGCAAAATACACCCGGACACCAAAGGATGTAATTCCACCTTTGAACATTTACAACGTTGGCTTACTTGTCCATTGTGCTTTGGGGTTTTATTGGGGGAAAGGGGAGGGGAGAGGGAAGAAATAGCAGATAATGATTCTGTGTGTTCTGGCAAATATAAAAAATACAGATTTGTCGTTTCTGCCTTTTTTGCTACCTTCAGGACACCTCTCACTAAAGCCAAAAAAAAAAAAAAGCAAGGAAGAAATAGAAAATCTACTGTCTTGTTTCTTGTGGCTTTTGTGGTTTTTCAATATTTAAAAAACTTAGGAATGGGAGTGAAAGAAGTTGGTAGTCCCGTGGGATGAAACACATCAGGCTGTAAGTTGCTCTTGTCTTAGCTTCCGCCAACATGGTACCCTGGATCCTTGGACATTCTAGGGAAAACAGGAGACCTCCAATGATGTAAGCCTTAAGAGACTATTCCACCCAGCTCTTCAGCATCCTGTTAATAGGACACATTTCCCCTCTGTGACTTCAGGGCTAGAAACTTCAAAAAGGCATCTTCACCCCTGGTGCCATCTGGATCTTGATACCTAATTGGGTCTACTTTCTCCAGATTTCCCTTAATGTTCTGTAGTTTCTCCAGGGCAAAGGCTCAGATTATTAGCAAGGATGTAAAGAAGCAGATGGTTACTCAGGAAGCATGCAAACCACATATGCTCTACCTTTTATTCTCTCTCTGATTTCACTCGTAAAAGCTCCGCCACAAACACACATTCACTTTACACCTGGCTGAACCTGGTCAATCACACCTCTCCTCCAAGTGAAATGAGCCAGCCAGAATGGTCAGCATTCTGACAATCAATTAATGTGGAAGCGAGGGCTTCACCTGTCAGCATACATGCATGGGTGTGCAAACACACACACACACGCACATATTCATGAAGGTAATGGCAGGTGGAAACACACATCTCACCAGCCCCAAGTTCTTCACCTACACACAGTGGAGACAGAGCCTCCGTCTTTCCTCAGGATGAGTGCCCCGGAGGCCACTGGGGGTTTTCATCTGACATGAGCTTTGCTTCTTTAGGTCTCCCCCTGTACTATTAAGTACACTGGAGCCACATTACAGACATATTCACCCTAAGCAAACTCAATCCTGCCCCACTGGCCACTGGAGAGAGAGAGAGAGAAAATAAGACCATGAAATTTCCAGCCCCCAGGCTTTCTATCTCTCAAGCCAAAACTGGACTTCAGGCCAGGAACAGCTGGAAATGGAAAGAGAAATAAAATAGAATGATGTTTAGCCTTTGAGCTTCTGTGGGCCCAAGTTCTAGTGATTTAAGGGAAGTTTAAGGAATTCGAATGGTAGTCGGGGCTATAAAATCTACCTCTCACCCCCCTCATACACACACACACACACACACACACACACACACACACACACACACACACCCCTGCTGTAGCTTGGTGTGCAAGATTCTCATGGGCAAGGCTAAAAGCTCCCCACTGACAAGCCAGCCCTCTCCAGAATGGTCGCTGATGGCTGAAATTTAAGAAAAATGAGTATCGCCTCGTGTAGGATGAGTTTCAGCTGAAGGAGATTCAGTTGCAACCCTAATCCAGGGTGGATGCTCTGGCTGAAATGAAAGCAAAGATCAGAGTCCCCAGTTCCCCAATGGAGTCTCCTGGTGGCCACATTGTAGCAGGAGGACCCAGGAGATGACTCCACCTCTAGCAAAACTTTCCTCTTCAGAGACCTTTAAACTTTCCCAAAATTAACCTTCTTCAAAATGAAATGTGCAATAAATCTCTAAAGTACAACACTGGGCTTGCTACAATTACATTTGTCCATGACAACGTGAGTTCCCATCAACAGGTTATTTTTTTGTTGTTTCCCCAATTATGGCATGAGCCCATTGAGGGATGCTTGCAAGGCAGTAACGTGCATTCTTTCAAATGGGTCCCTGTTCCTCCTTTGTATGGAAAACCCTTTCCTTCCTCAATCAGCCAGCTCCACTTATTTCTTCAAGACTCAGATCAAGTGTTTCCTGTCTCGGGAAGCCTTCCTTGACATCCCTTACCACAGGGTGCCTCTCCCTCACTGCCAGCACTTTCTGGTAGGGGTTACGCTTGCTCATCCGTGCTTGGCGCAGTACCTGGTCTTAGCATCTGTGAAGGTTTGTAGAATAAATGAACCTAAGACTCCAGGAGTAACCATTAGAATGCTTGGCATATTTTATCTCTAATCCTAATGCTATCCTTTCAAGGTAAGTACCATTATGCACACCCTACAGATGGGGAAGTTGAGGATCGTAGATGTTACGTGTCGTGAGCTAGCCCACACAACAAGCACAACCCCAGGTGTGGGCTTACTCCAAAACCAAGATTGTATTTTTCATTATAGCAACTGTCTTATAAAAATGGATAAAAGGACAGGAGGCCTTTTGGTCCAATTCAGCAAGGACGAATTTGAAGTTTTGGTCTTCATCAGTCAGTCAGGGCTGCCTATAAACTTAGGGTCTCAAAAGACAGAAGGAATGTAAATTAATCCAGATCAGAGTTGTGGCAATGATTCATGCTGCTATGATTCTTTATGTCATTGGCATTTGATGCCAGCAAGATGTTTCTACTTATTATTAATAATCACTAACATCCACGGAACACCTCCTATGCACCAGACACTTTGGTAAGCTTTGTGTGTGCTTTATCTCATTCCACTTCATCTTCAGAATATATCTATCAAGTAGATACCATTATTACCCCCTTCATCGAGTGAGAAATCTGAAGTTGAGAGAGGCTGAAATAATTTGCCCGAGGTCACATCATTCATGAGTGGTGGAAGTTTGATTCCAAGAACCTTCTCTCCTTGATCTGCTGCTTTTCAAGGTGGAGAAGAAGCCTGGTGAAAATCAAGTGTGCTCTCAAGTTTGCCAGATCCTAGACGGGTCATCCTGGGTCATAGATGATATGGACAGATCAGTCATCCCACCGTTAAAAGGCTCCCCTCTGCTTTTCCATCCCCTGAACCATTTATCTTCAGAAGGAGCTGCATTTTTATAATCATAAAGCTTTCAATGAGCAAGGAGCAAAGTACATAAATGCATAGTTATGAACTCAATCTATTCCCATTTGTACTTAAAAATATGCTGGGAAGTCTTTTTTTTTTTCCCTGCATGTGCACCGAAGAAGCAAATGCCAAGATAGAGAGTGAATTAGATAATCTTACAATGACGATGGCTCTGTTTAACGTGGGTGCATCATTTCATTTAAAGGGATCTAATAGGGCAGGGCAGCCAAGTCACCAGGCTGCTCTGGGTCTGCGGTGTTGCTAATATTCTATATAACACCAAATCTCTCTCCTGAGATCCCTGGGAAGGATGCACGACGGCAGAGCGCTTGTATGACATTCATCTTCATGAGTGAGCTGTTCCATCTCCTCTCGCGAGCAGAGATAAATGTCAGAAGAGATCAGCCGTTGTGTATTACACGGCCACTCTGAGCATGCTGCTTCCCTCCCTCTGCCCTACAGAGCCAAGATTACTTTAGACCAGGAGCTGGGAGAGAATTCAAAAAGGTACAAGGAGGCCATGTACGTGAGAGGGAGAAGCAGACCACAGGGAAGTAAATAAAGCAGAAACTAAAACTATCCTTGCTTACTATTATGAGAGGCATGGAAAAATGAGTCTGCCCATTTCTGTTCTTCCCTCTGGAGGATCCATTTTGATTTGCTGGCTTAGTGGTTGGCTTGGTGGTTGGGCGAGGGGGTGGGATGGAGTGGGAAGAGGAAGCATAGGGAGAAGATATTATAATTTCTCTTTAATTTTTTTAAAACAGTTTTTTGGGGGAGAGCAGAGGTAATTAGGTTTATTTACTTATTTATTTTAATGGAGGTACTGGCATGGAGCCCAGGACTTCGTGCATGCTGGGCTTGCACTCCACCACTGAGCTAGACCCCCCACCTCCCCAGAACTTCTCTTTACATTTATTATGACCTAGGTAATAAGAAAGGAATAAAGTTGTCTAAGGTTTAATATGGGGATTGACACCACTGCCCTCACGCAGTCCATCTCAACCTACTGTGATGATAATTATAAACAAGCCAGATTACAGTACAGCACTCTTCTCCATTCTTCTCTGTGGTTCTCCAGGGCTGGAGGAAGAAAAACACATTTCATTTTCTATCTATGGTTTTCATATGTTAGATAGTTAAGTACTGATTGCTGTACAGGAGGCTTTGGTTGGGAGGGGGAAATAGCTCACCATCTCTCTCCTTCTTTTGATCTTCGCTTCTGGCAAGGTACTTAAGTCTACAGGAGACTTCTCTAGCGGATTTACAGATTTTATTATCTAATTAAACTAAACCCTACACTACAGACAACTCGTTATTTTTATCTCTGCTTAGAACCCAGAAATTGATAATAACGTTACATTTGAAGCACAAATGACCAAGAAAATGGAAAAACAGGCCTGGCCTGCCTCTCTCTCTTGACACTAGCTCTTTCTCAAGAATTCTTATTTGTGCAAAAATAATCTAATTGGATCTGGGAAGTTAACCAAAATTTTTCAAAAGTATCCTAAAGACAATCTACAACTATATTTTTCATGGTAAACCTTAAGGATATGGTGTGCCCCATGTTACTAATAGTATAAAAAATAACAATCGTATACTTAAAATTTAAAGATTTAAATTTAAAATTATGTTTTTATCTTTTCCTCATCATTAAAAATTCTTAACTTTTTGCATGCTTTCTAATGCACATAAGATGGTAGTATAGTAAGGTGTATATAATTGATTTTTTAAATTATGAACAAATCCATATTAAATGTACATGCATAAATATATCTTATCAAAATAGTTTGGAGACCACAAGTGATGATGCTCTGACCCACAAAGCAGTCAGACCACCTCCTTAACTGATTATCATTGCTGTCACTTCTTAAAGGAAATGAATATCCCATTCCTTCTCAATGTCCTTTCTCCTTTCACCTTTCCACGTATGTATATATATACACTCAGGTGCCGTGGCTCATGGTTCTCTCCACAGTAAGCATCCTGGCACCCCTTTAGAACATGGTACTAAATATGAGAATGGAACAGCATAACAGAAATAGAACTTCTGAGTTCCTGATGACATATTGGGGACAAAGAAATAAGGAGGAAAAGTTGCCCCAAATTAATACATTAGAAAGCATAAAGGCAGAGATGAAGCAAAAAAAAATGTTCTAAAGGAGATCAGCTCAAAGATTGTGATGGGCCCAAGGGAGAGATACACTATATAACCTAAGACATTATACGGTAGGGAAAGATACTCTGATATGCAGTGGAATAGAGAGCCGTATCTATCCTGTTGTTACATCACGTTATTGGAAATATGTTCATACAACGTGGGGAGTAATTGTAAAACAAACTCCATTACAATGTAGCAGTCTTATCCATTCATCTCTGTTGTATTCATGGCTGGAAGATGAGAAATGAATTGCATTACACATTCATGGTTTTCATGTTACCCCTCTGTTGCTCTTTAATCACGTAACAATTGTCTTGTTAATGAATCTACAAGCTATTAACATTTAGTCGGCATTCTTTAGGCCAAGACTAGGCTTTGGGATGTTTGATTTTTCCTTCTTTTGTCAGATGCTTGAGTCCCCTGAAGCCGCTCCTCATCCCCCACCTCCAAGAGAGCCGCCTCCAGGGGGCGCTCTCCCTCACTGGGACAGGATGCTGAGTGTTCTCTTTGCCCAATCTCTCACTACGCTCCAGACCCAAGCCCGCTGCAAGCTGGGTCTTTCAGGTTTATTTAGGATGACTATTTCTAGAGGACACGGAAAGTTATTCTTAACACACCAATGTCCAAATTTATGCCTTCATTATTTTTCCCCACAGTTGTGGCTTCTATCACCTTGAGGTGATTTCAGCCTAATCTCTTCAGACCATAAAAAGATCCTAAGAGTCTGCAGATAGGGGATCCAGAAAGCAATTGCCATATAGGTGAATGGAAAACCAACAAAATGGTATTGTTTTGCTATTGTTCTAAAGAATATAATGAAAGTACTGCCCAAGTCCATATCCTAATACATCAAAGACTGAAAATTGCCGAGTCTTTTATTACAAACTGTTAGTCAGCCCAGCTCTGTGCTTTATAGACTATCTTACCTTTATGGTGATGTTTGCCCTTGTCTCTGACAGAGTAACAAGATTCTTGACCTTTCTATCCCTCAATGCTCCTGTCCTCAAAAGCCCAGAGGCATAAGCATATATATTACACTCTTTCTTTTGGATATTTGTAACAATCCTAAACTCTAGAATGCCTGATAATATTTTTAGGGACCTCTGTAATCTCAGAAAAAAAAAAGAGATACAACTTACTTTATCCCAGAAAATAAGTACTAGCCTACCAGTTTTTATAAGAAACTAGCAACAAGCTAATAATTCATTACGTATTTTCTACCTATCCACAATTTCTATTCTCTTTTTTTATCTTATGCATTCGTTATTTTATTTTCTATACAAAGAAATGCACAAATAAGCAATTCATGGTTCTGGAATGTGTTCCTTTTATCAAAAGATGTGGATAATTCAAATTTCATTACAACTTTACAGGATAAATGAGACCAGCTACTGAACAAGGGTTGAAGATGAATTCTGAAAACACCTCCTTCTTTTATTTATTTATTTATTTTTTTTGCAAAAGTTACCTTGCTGTGGAGAAAGAGTTACTGCAGTGTATTTGTCACAGATTCACGCTCATCTGCTTTGAAAAATGGAAGCATGGGATGGATAAGAATAGGCCAGGAAACCCTCAGACTTTTTGCTCACTGGGGCAAATGAAAACAGGAAAAGAACTGAAGCTTGCTGCACTAGTCACAGGTTGGGTCTATAACACTTCAACATTCAACAACAAGGTCTAAAGATTTCTTAATGTGTTTAAATAAGAGTAGATGGCTTTTCAGAAACTCAGGATATTTCTTGTGGTCTAGTGTGGGTGCCACTTAACATGCATGGGAATTTGAAGGGCAGGGCGCTTGCCATTGGGACAGCAGGTAAAGCTGACAGGCACAGGTTGTTCAGGTTGATAAGATTCACGCGGAAAGGCAGGAAATTGAGGGAGAACAAAAGAAGTGTCCACACTCTAACTTACTTGTAGTAACAGATGTCATAGCCCCTCCGTACCCAGGTGGGTCGGCCAAGAAGAGCCTCCTTCACAGAATACAGAGTTGGCTGCATCCCTACACAAAATGAAGGCAGAATTAATTCTAAGAAGGAAAAAGAAAAAAAGAAAGGAGAGTTGTGGTAGGCTGAATAGTGGCCCTCCAAGATACCGGGTCCTAATCCTATGAGTGCTAACTGTGTATGACAAAAGAGCCTTTGTAGATATGATTAGATTATGTATCTTGAGATGGGGAGGTGACCCCGGTGGGCTCTGAATTCAATCACAAATGTCCTTATAATAGAGCAGCAGAGGGAGGCATGACTACAGAGGAGAAGCCGCGTGGATCTGAAGATGGAAGAAGGGGCCGTGAGCCAAGGTGAGGAGGAACCCAGCCCTAGAAGCTGGAGAAGGAAAGGAGACAGCAAATCCCCTAGGATCTCCAGCGGAAGTGTGGCCTTTCCAACATCTTGACTTAAGCCGGTGAAACTGATTCGGCCTTGCGGACTCCAGAACTGCAAGAGGATACACTCGTCTTGTTTTCAGCCCCAAAGTTTGTGACAATTTCTTCCAGCAGCTGCACCAAGCGAATACAAGCGTCAAGGCTCACCTTTTCTCTTTCTCTACCAGCAAGAGTCTATTTAGTCAGTACAAAACCTGTGCTCGGACCTGGAGCTATGGGAAGATCTTTTCCTTACTCAAAGCCACTCCATAAATTAGCAGATGAGCCGGCAATAAAGTGCAGCATTTCCCATTCCTAGAAATGCTCCAAATAAATACAGGCTACTCATCAGTCTTTGTCCCCTGAAGGTCTTCTCTAAAACTGCCACAGGTATTCAGGAGAATTTAAACTTTCTTCTGAGTTTTCTTAGCCTATAAATCAGTGTTGTCCACCTGAAGTGTGCTGTTTGCCTGTCTGTGGCAAATAGATCAATACATTTGCTCCTGAGGGATTTAGGGGATGGAGGGAAGGAATAAATGAGAGGGCTCAGTGACCTCAAAAAAGCTCAAGGTGGGGCAAGGGAGTCAGGAAATGGCACAGTGTAATGTGAGGTATTAACACGCCATGGTAGAGCGAGGGTCTCCGGCTCCCCCCTCCCACGGTAGCAACTGATCATCAGTTGGCAGTTGTCTTGCTACACCTGGCAACCAAAATGTGTCATCCTTTTGGGAAGCCAAGCAGGGGCTCCTGATAACCATTCAAGTGCTCACAACGTGACATCTCTCCCAGTGTGACCCACAGAATGTCTAATCCTGAAGGGCTCATACCGTAATTGAACTGGCTGTTGGGCTTCTCACAGTTGATGATGTTGAAGCGGTAAGGGACGGCAGCCCGCATCCCGCTCACCTTGAAGTAGAACCACTGCTGGTGCTGTGTGCTGTTCACATCAGGATTGATCAGTAAGTCATACTCGAACCTGCGAAGTCAGAAGCAAGGTTGGAAGGTTAAAAGTCTTCAAGAGAACTTCCAGCACTGAGAACTCTACACATGCCAGGTTCTGGATGACAGATCAAAGACCCAGGATCTCAGTTGGCTGGTAAGTTACCGTTATCATATTTTTATCTTCCAGTGTTGGACACAGACTCTGGAGATTGAGGGAGGGAGTAACAGTTTCTTAACATGAGAAGAGTCAGTTCCACAACTGTAGCATATCTTTTTATCAAATTGTAATAAAGTTCCTATCCAGCTAGAAAAATGCAAGTTTGCTATATCCTGGAGAAAACGTGGTCACATCTGGTTGGCTCTGCCATTTCTGTTTGATGCTAGACGTTATTTTTGAGCCTCAGCCTCCTCCTATTAAATATAGAAATAGTGTCTAAACTTGCAGTACTGTTTGTAAAGATTAAGTAGTACAGTTTATGTAAATCCCCAGCAAGGAAACAAACATGAATTAGACTAGCAATGAAGGATTTGTCTGTTTGTTTTTCCCCTTTTAATTGATTTCGCAGTAAAGTACACAAATCTTAAATGTACAACTCAATGAGTTTAAACAAATTTATCTGGATACACCTGTTTGACAATTACCTAGATCAATATATAGGACAGTTCCAGCACCCTAGAAAGTCATACCAATCACTGGGTCTCAAAAAAAAAATTACTTTTTTGAGCTTCGGCAACAGAATTGCATGCAGTTTTGACTTAAACATTATCATCTGGATATTTCATTTTCAAAAATATTCTTACCCCACCCCCTTGGTATGCTCTTTGACTTGCTCTTCTAGAAAAGGTAATGGTTTTGCCCTGATTCATTCATATTCTCCTACGTTGGACACCTGGTAAGTGGCAGTGTGCAGTGAGATTTGTGAGAGTCCAGGGCTTTGTATAAGATACAGCAGAGCAGAGAAGAGCTAATTGTTGGAGTCCCACCCCTCACGTCATCACTATAAGCACCACACTAACCCACTGAGCTCACCACACAACCAACAAAGCAAACCCACTGAGTGGCCCTCCTGAAAACAATTCTGGAAAGTCTGTGACACTCAAATTGTCTGCTATGCCCATGATGCTCTCTCCAAATGATCATAACAAATGCCATGTCTGTTTGTCTTTTGTCATTTGACTCTGTTACCTGGACCACAACGGTTTGGTGTAGGATTCTACCGTCCAGCCAAAGGCATCAAGAGAGAGACCTGAGTGAGGCTAGGAGCTTAGCTCATCCTGGACTGCTCCTTCTCCCACTAGGGGATTCCTAATCGGGTCGTCTCTCCAGGATCTTTGGAACATGATAAATGGAGAGAAGGAATAATAAAAGCAGGGGCCATGGGAGGAAGTAGAAGCTGAGCTAACAGTCAAGAAAGAGAAGAGGGCTGAGGAGGTTTCAGCATGATTGCCTTTCTCTTCTTCAGTTTAAATAGCTCAACATATATTTGTTTTATATATTGGGCTTCCCTGAAATATTTCATGTACCAAAAAAAAAAAAATTACTGCTCACCTCTTCCCGCCCCCAAAATGAATCCTTAGTGGATATAAAACAGGGCTGAGCTGTATTAAGTTCTGGGCTCTCGCCGTGGTGAATACACATCCCTGATAAGAGCTAACGTTGGCCAAGTGCTAAGTACATGTTGGGTAGTGTTCTGAGAGCTCGGCGTGTGTCATTTAACTCTCAAAATCCCTATGACAAGGGTGCTGTTGCTGTCCCCATTTTGTGCGTGAGGAAATCAAGGCATGGACTTAGGTAACTTGTTCCAAGTCTCATGATTGGAAAGGCGTGGAGTTGCCCTGGTAGTCTGATTCCAATGCCTGTGACCATCACACCATTAACTGCTCTGGACTGTGGTTTTCCAAAGTTCACCTGCAGAAGGTGGATTTGGGTGTATGGCAAATACAGTCCAAGGTGTTACCATAGAAAGAATTACAACACAGCAAGAAGAGCAGTCTCTTCTGCCGCTGGAAAAAGAGTTAGAATTCACTTTTGACTATTTCCCTCCTTTTAGTTTGCTGCAGCCCTAAACTTCCTTTTTCTATTAACAAGCACTCTTTGGTCGGTGCTGGCAGAGGTCTGGCACTGTGCCTTCCCTTGAAGGAAGGATGGTCACCATTCGCCGCTCTATGGGGCGCCCAGGGTTTTTGCTACCTAAGCGCACAGCTACGGGAGAAACAGGCATGGAAAAGTACAGGAATGGGGAATCCCGTGTACCCCTCCATGTCAACAGAATCAGCCCTGGCATCAACATAAGTATAAACTTCCCAAAGTGCTCGCACACCCGAAGACCGACCCATTATTTGGAACATAAGACATATTCATAACAGTTCACCCCCTTCCTTAGTCTCTACTTTGCTGGGACATCAGCTAGTGAGTCCCCTGGTGGCGTGCTGGTAAATGTTTAACAACTGACTTGGGAAAAACCTTCATTGGCTGTGTTTGCCAGTTCCTGGTGTAAACACTCCCACCGTGGCAGATTTCAAACTATCAATGTGAGGCTGCTGAAAACAGAGCAGGGGAAAGACAGTCACAAAGTGCTCGCTCAGGCTGCCAGGAGCTACCTCCTGCAGCTTTCCTTACTTACTCACGCACTTGGATGGCTTTGCGAAGATTTCCTGACTCAAACATGGAGAAAAACCTTAAGCAGTCAGGAGCAGTGTCTTGCAAAGGCCTGGAATGAAATTGGGAACGTGTGACATGAGTTATTGCTATTCTTAGGCACAGTTTGACATTTCTTAGAGGTAAGCCTTCTCTTAGAGATCTTTAACCCGAATTTTCACTGTGCTGTTTTTAGGAGAAGGAATGGGTTACTAACATAAAGCATTCTTATTCTCATGCGATTAAAAGGATATTCCATACTCCCACCCGCCCCCCTACTCCACTGATGCTCAAGACCACCTACCAAGTCTCATCTAAACTGAAGACAACTTTATTTATAACATCACTTGGCTGGATGAGCCTCCGGACATCCTCAAATATCTTGATCCTGGAAAGGAAAATTGGAAACATTTTAAGGATTGGCCCTCACTCCTTACCCTATTCATCCCATGGTCATGTGAGAAGGGCCTTGGGAGTCATCAGAGAAATATGAAAGAAAAATTTAATAATGCCCAATCTTGAGCTGAAAGAGCACAAAACACTACCCCTCCTTCCTTTTCTTCTTTACCAAAACATATGACACTGAGCAGCAGGAATGTAGGAACGCCATATTTTAGCTTTAGGATTGTTGACTTGAAGGAGAGCTTTGTCGAGAGCATTTGGGCAGAGGGACTTTGAAGGCTTCTGGTTGTGTGAACAAGAGGGTCCTTTGCACTGGGACAGTTTTGAAGGAGACGTTAGGATTGCTGGCTCTTAGCATCCTCAACGTCTGGGAGGCTCCAATGAGCCTTCCAACTCTTGTCATTTACACTCTTTGGTTCTGTTTGCTCCAGAAGATGAGAGTCAATCTTACGTCTGAGAAACACCAATATCTGGGAGGTTTAATTAAGAGGGAGGAAGGATACTCAAGGGGTCTTTCAGTTTCCCTCCTTGAACTTCCAGTCCAGGTCTCTGGGGTGTGGAGGGGTGGGAGAAGGGAGAGGCCTGGACTCGGGGGGAAAACGTCCTGTCCAGGGGGAGCTATTGCTAGTGCGTGCCTCTCAGGAACTTGAGCTTGGTGATAAGGTCTGAGGGGTGAGGTCAGAGGTGTTAGCTGGGAGCCAAAGCGGGAGCAGTTCTTGGGATCCACCACCAGTTTGCTGATGAAATGGAAATAAGTTAATAAAACTTACTGCCATACCCACTTTGTTCCACTGACTTAGTATATGCACACTTAATTTTTTGCAGGGAACATAGTTTTTTTCTTTGATTTTAGCAATCATCTTTTTAATCTCGCTATGCCTATCCAAAGACAAAGCTCCCCCTTTCATGCATCCTGGGAATAATCCATCACCCAATGTTTCTTCCCTGGAGGATGCATTTTTTCCCTCACAATCCTCAGCGATGCAGAAAAACTATTCCCCAAGCCAAGGCAGGTTCTAGAAGGTTGGGATGGTGGGATGGAGGTACACCACCTCCTCTCATTCATAAGAAATCAGATTCCAATTTGCAGTGAAAAAGACAAGAGATCCATACCTGTGTTTGCCTGAGAACCTTCCCTTAAGGGAAGTGTTTGGAGAAACTGGATTATCTTTCCATTTTGTAGTGATTTGCAATGGATATGGGGTAAGAAGTTGCATTAGAATCATAAAAGGAATTCTTTTTGTGGAAACAGATGTCTACCGCCACCCTACACTTGGTTCTCAAACGTCCTTGTAGAGGGGAAAGCTTGTATCTTTGGCAAATATCTCCTTAAGGATTTTAACATGCTTCTGACTATTGTTCATTTTCCTGAAGAAAGCAGAACTATCTGTACAAACCATTCCACCTGTAAAAATATTAAGGAAAAAACATATCTATAGCTCCCAAGTCAGTAGCACCATCACCTTTGGATTCCACATTTACGTTCCAACATGGACTGAGCAGAGGGAGCTGGACAGTGTCCCCAGAGATCAGGAAACGCCATCATCGTGAAGTCAGCCACAGATCTGGTTCTTCTGGCTTTGGCCATATAAAGATGGGGATCGTGGAAGGCGATGTGCTTGGGATGTGTCTGCAGAAGCTTATCTGTTAATTCAGCAGTTTCTCTAGGCCTACTGGAATTGACAAAGGAGGCACTCATCCTTGGGCAGGAAATTGCATCTATGTCCCAAGCATCCTCCTTGAGAGATGCCTGAATGTCTAAGATTTCACTTCCAGAAGAACCTATCCCAAGACCATTGAACTGTGCATTTTGGTATGGGTTCATGCCAGCTCCTTTTTTGGAGGCTAGGTGTATACTGGACCTCCCCATCTTCACCCTGCTCAGAAGGGAGGTCTGAACTGGGGATTCTCTTTCTTGCCCCCAGGAGATTTGGTCCTTGTTCAAGCAATGCTCCTCTGGGGAGGCAGCAATTGGAATGTGGTGGTGATTGGCAGACTGAGTCTCATCAAATTTCAAATCATCTCCAGGTTTGGACTCCAGTTCCTTCAGGTTAAAAGTGGAAAAGAATACGTCAGTGTTTCCTTCCAGATAGAGAATACAGTCAGATCCCTGTCACTCTCTGGACACAGTGCTAAGCATAACTCCTGTGCATTGGAAAGCTTTTTGCAACGTCAGCCACGAAAAGACTAAGCTTCAAGAGTCAAAGAAATGGCAAAATCATAGAAATTTACATTTGGAAGGGGATCTAGTACAATTCTGTGGAGTACAGGAACACCTTCCACAACATCTCCAAAAATTTACAGCCTGGTTGAATAACACATTTACAGAAACTTCACTGCACCCCAAGGCAGTGACTTTTATTTGAGGATCATTCTGATTGTTAAAACAAATGTCTTTTTTACACTGAATTAAAATTTCCTTCCCCAAAACCTTTATCCACCAATCCCTTTCTGCTTTCTAGAGTGAAATACAGTATGTTAACTCCCTTCTATAAATGATTTAGCTGGCACCCTTAGATGTGACCAAATTCATGATTTATTAAGAATCATAGGAAAATAATGAAGGTCCAAAAGCAGGTCTAAAATTATGGTGGGAGCAACAGCTGCAACTAGCCACTGGGTTAACATCACCAGGTGTCAGGTTCTCAATTTGTTTCTCCTAACAAAGAAACCCTAGAATCAGGCTGGTCTCCTTCAGATAGTTGTCTAATACAACCTTCCCACTGTGACAAGGGAATCAGCAAAGCATCAAGAATTTTCACTTGCTTTTCCAATGCACAGGGGTAGGGTACCCTGCCCACCAGACAATAGGCAGTGATGTGAGCCTTCATCCTGTTTCCTTCCCAGGTGTCAGACTGTAGGACCTTTCCACGCATCCCAGTTCTGCCACATTTTCCCCGTTTTTGCTTAGCCTTCTGCTTCTCTCTCAGAAGGATCCCAGGAGCACATTGCTAAAGATGAGCAATGCTTTCCATCTGGAGACCTGTTTGATCTTCCAGGGTCTGCAAAGAACACACCAAGCATCACCAAGGAGCCGAACCACGGCATATGTCCCACCTCAAAGCTGCAGAAGAGCTCAAGACACATCGCTTTATATTGCATTAGTTCCTCTTCAGGTCGGTCAAGACCAGGTTTGGTGCTCAGCTTGTTCACGTCTGTTTCCAAGTCATCATACTACAAGGGGATGTTCAAAAAAACATATTACAATCAGGAGAGCCATCCTGAGGGATAGCGAGACAAGCTACAGACGTGATTCTTCAGAATCCTGGGACACAGTTTCCTTACCTCCGAATTATCATGCTAGCCTAGTCCAAGGATAATTTCATATGTCAGATCGTATTTATAAAAAAAAAATAGAAAAGAAGATTATAACCTTTCTCAGCATTTATATCAGTATTTATCAGCCCTCATCATAAATAAATAATTTATATAAAATGAGGTGAACTATGTAAACAATGAAGCACGATATAAAAGAGCTATTTATCTCAACATCACCTTCTTCAACATAATCGTAATTGTCATCCCAAAGCATCTCTCTGCCTATTTAGGTCCATCACTCTTCTCACAAAGTTTAATGAGTACCTACTATGAGCAGGTGCTCTTCCAGGTACTGAAGACCCAGTAATAATGGAACAGACCAAGGTCCATGCTTCCGTAAAATTTGCCTTCGAGTGAGAGAAGGAAGACAACAAATAAGAAAGCAAACAAATGAGTAAGGTAACCTCAAACAGTGATAAATGCCATGGAAACAATGAGAGGAGGGCAAAGTGACTGGGAGTGAGGCTTGGGTATGAGAAACTGAGGAAGTTACATTTTTAACTAGACCTAAATCATAATAGCGACCAACTATGCCAAGACTTGGGGAAAGGAATTAGTAACAGGATGAAAAAAAAAAGCTTAAGTTTGTTTACAGAAACTAGGTGGCTGGAGCACCCAGAGTAAGAGGAAAGTAGTAGGGGCCAAGACTTCAGAAGTAGGTATGACGCTGAGCTCTCCAGGCTCTGGGAAAGAGGCTGTAACCTCCCACTATACCCTTATCCCTTTGTACATTTAAAAGTTTACAGAATCACCACCAGCCTTTGCTTCACTGGGCTGAATAATCCTATTCCCCCCCTTTTTTTTAAACATTATTTTTATTGAGTTATAGTCATTTTACAATGTTGTGTCAAATTCCAGTGTAGAGCACAATTTTTCAGTCATACATGAACATACATATATTCATTGTCACATTTTTTTTTCACTGTGAGCTATCACAAGATCTTGTATATATTCCCCTGTGCTATGCAGTATAATCTTGTTTATCTATTCTGCATATGCTTGTCAGTATCTACAAATTTTGAACTCCCAGTCTATCCCTTCCCACACCTCTCCCCCTTGGCAACCACAAGTTTGTTGAATAACCGCATTCTTTTATTTTTCCTTCTATATCATCATTTCATAATAATTTAACAATGATGGTGACTCTCATCCAAACCTTTTCCAAAATTTATAGAATCGTATAGAGAAAGGAAACCAGGAATTATACGGTCCAGTCTCTGCATCTTTCCATACATCTTCTAGATCAAGTTTCCCTAATAAAATGGGGAAGGGGGGAAACCTACCCTATATTTTAGGAGTATATTTTGTTAGTTAAGGAAAAATCTGATAATTCTGAAAACCTGACTTATTCTTCCCTAAATCGAATAAATGTGGAAAATAAATGTTTAGATTCCTGATTTGAGAGGGGGAATGGAATGCAATACAATATTTCATTTACCTGCAATTTTCCTCCAAACGTTAAAAGAAACATAGATCCCATGAGGTTGATGTCATGATATTTTCACAGACAAGAGTATATTAGGCCCAAACTCCTTAGCCTAGTATTGGAGACCCCAAGACTCTTATCCTTTCCAGCGTTCTCTCAGTCCCTCCTTGCTTTCACCCTCTCTGCTACAGCCTCAGCCACGCCCCAGGGTGGTGCCGGTGGAAATGCAACGTGGTAGCCATTGGGAAGCACCTTCGCACAAGCAAGTAAGGGTGGTACGTCTGGAGTGAGGAGTGTGTTGGGTAACCCACGAGCTTCAGCCTAACTAGGCGACCTGCTTAGCCCTAGAGCAGGGGTTAGCAAACCACAGCCCACTGCCTCTTTTTGTAAATACATTTTCTTGGAAAACAACCATGCCCATCCATTTACGTGTTGTCTATAATTGCTTTCTCAACACAACAGTAGCTGTAGCAGAGACCATCTCTGGTCTTCAGAGTCTGAATTTTGGTCTCCAAATCTCCAGGCACTCAGGCAAGTTCTCACCTCCTTTTGTATGCTTATAAACACCATTTATACTTATTTAGCGATGGGCTAGCTTCTGTGAACTCACAGCAACCCAAACAAACAAGTTTCATCATCTAAAATTCTGGTGCCCTTCCTGCTTAGATTGGACCCTTCCAATATTGACTTTTCACAGCCTTAGACTTGAGTTCAGGTGGTGACTTGAACTCTGGTAGAGAAAATCCCCAAGTTTACTAGCCTGTGAGTTCTTTGAAGATAAAAACTATGTCTTATTTGCTTTTGTCTCATATCACCATCCCTAAGAACTCAGCATGCCGCCTCACACATGGATCGTATTCAAGAAGGTACCTGAAGTAAATAAAAAGTTTTAAGAGGAAAGAAAGGAGAGAAGAAAGGAGGAAGAGCTTGAATTCATTCTGTATGCCTTCCTCGTCTTCAGAGTCTGTCCAAATCTAACGTTTGTGTTCATGGAGAAAAAACATGGCCAACATCCAGTCTGTCTATATTTGCTGTAAGTTTCTGTTCTCTTACGATGACATTAAGAGTTGTCAGAGAACAGCACCCGACTCTCCACTCGCAAGACCCTTCACAGGTATAAGTTCCTTTTAATCATTCTTTCTAAGAGGTTGCTCCCAATTATTAATGAAGATTTTCAAATGAAAAGGCCACAAGTTAAAGGCCTGGGTCAGTTCTCTGACCAGAAACAAATGCTTCTGGCTCCTTGCCCACGTTTCTTGCAGCAAATGCTGCCGGGTCCAGCAGGGAGAAGCCACTTTGCCAGGGCACCAGTTCCCTGGCTCCTACAGCTCCCCAGCATCAAGCCCTTACTCCGATGCTCCTGTTTCTCTACAACACATGCTCATGTGCTAACTTCTCATCTTCTCCTCGGCTTGAAGGCTCTTGATGAATCGTTTCCAGGCCCTCACCCATTTGTCTTGTGTTTCCTTCCCAGCTGGATTTGCTTACTTGTTTGGGTTCCACTTCACCCCAGCCCACCATCACCTGCAGAGCGGGGAGAAGGAGACTGTCTGAAAGCTCTCCCCCAGACCACACTGTGTGAAGTCAGGCACCGGCCCTCAGCCTGTCCCTTCACATCAGATACAAGAGGCGACTGACTCCACATCCAACACTCAGTTATCAGAGAGCAAGCGAGAGGGGAGGGAATGTGGCATTGATGAATGGCTGCAGCAGCGCAGTGTTATTCACATCATTCAGCAAGCTCTCCGTAGCCCTGCACTGCCGAGCCACTGCAGAGAGCCAGTTTACCACGGGTGACTTCAGAAATGATTATGTTTATCAACAAAACCCCGAGAACACCAGAGTAGCAATAGCAACCTTAACCCAGACACCTGGCTTAGGGGTAGGCCTTCTATGTCTGCTACTACCATTGGCAAGGTGAGTGAGTAATGTGATAGAGAACGAGGGAGGGAAGGATGAGGATGGATAAATGGATGCACAGTAGACAGACAGATAGACAGATGGATAGATCGACAGATTAACAGATCGATAGATCGATAGATAGGTAGATGGATAGATGGATGGATGGATAGATGGACAGACAGACAGATAGATGGATAGATGGATGGATGGACAGATGGATAGATAGATAAATAGAGCGATAGATAAGTAGGTAGGTAGATAGATAGATCGATCATCAATCGATATTGATTGATAGATAATAGATAGTCAGATGGATGAATGGATAGATAGAAAGATGGATGAATGGATGGATAGATAGATAGATTTCTAAAATTCGTTTCATCTCCAGGAATATCATAAAAGGTAACATCTGCCTCTCAGTCTTACTTTGCAGATGACAAAGTTAAGCAACCTGAAGGGGCTTATCTAAGTCCACGTCCCCCAAGAGAAATGGAGATGGAATTATAACTCATAGATAAATTATCATTATTCAAGAGTACTGGTTCTCAATCAGGGATGATTTTGCACCACTCCCCTCAACTCAGGGATATTTGTCAAGTACTAGAGACATTTTAGGCTCATGACTAGGGAGGCGGGGCAAGGGGGTAGATGCCATCAGCATCTTGTGGATTGAGGTCAGGGATGCTGCTAAACACCTGCGATGCACAAGATAACTGCCCACGACCAAGAACTGTCCAGCCGAAATGCCAGCAGCGCCCAGGTTGAGAAGCCCTTTTCTAGAAAGGCCGTCAGCAAACTATGTCGCACTGGCTGTTCTTTGTAAATAAAGTCTTGTGTGTACAGTCATGCCCTGTTGTTTACACATGGTCTGTGGCTGCTTCTGTGCTACCACAGCGAAGCTGAGCAGTTGTGATACAGACCGTGGAGTCCACCAAGCCCAGAGTCATTACTATCTGACCTTTCAGAGAAAGTTTGCTGACTTCTGTTCCATAGCACAGGTCATTCTGAGACACAGGCACCAGGGTGAGCACCACACCACCCAACGGAGCAGAGTTCATGGTGACTCCAAGGTAAACAGAGGTGTAGACCCAGTGGTCCTGTGCAGGATGGGTAGATAAGAAAAGTGACTTCCAAAGATAGGGGAGACGTACCAGAAAAAGTTTCCCAGAAACTCTTTCCTTGGTCTCTTGCCTAAATATCATTCACACTTATGAATATACCAGCTCTAAGCACTGAGTGTCTTCTTCAGGCTCATCCTAATGGAACACCAGTGCCTTGATAACAGATAGCCTCTGACTTGGCAATGAGATGGGACAGGACCTACGATGAAAATGACAGCTTGGAAATTAGTAACAGTGGCTGTCATTTGTTGAGCATCAGTATCCACCAGGCACTGAAGTGGAAGAACAAAAGCACGTCCTTAAAATGTACACTGCGCATAGCTGAACACCAAAAGCGGTATTTTCCTTTGTAAACCTGTGAATGTGGAGGTCACCGGAAGCAAGGGCTAGTGTACCTACTTCCTCTTTCCCATCTTCAGAATCCGAGTCTTTGTCTTCCTCTTCATCGCCATCATCTTCAAAATCTTCTGAGTGGGGGAAAAAAAAGAGGTGAAATGGATGAGGCTTCCCCTTTGCCTTGGACTGCGATTCTCACCACACAGTGGTGAGTACTTCTTCCTCTCACAATATTAAGTGTGCAATATCCCAACACTCTCGTGATTAGTGCTGGAATTCGTGCACACACAGGCAGTGAGAGCTCTGGACCATGAAGTCTAAACTGCTGTCCCCCACTGAACGCACGAGTGCAGGATAAAACGACACATGAGTACCATTCTGGCTTCCTCCACCCGATGCACAAGAATTTATGTATCTAACATTGCCAGAGTTTAGGGGTCCCATAGGTGCCAAAGCTGTTGTAACTTAAACAGCAACTTGATTGATTCCCTAATTTTGATGTGAAGGAACTTATTTAAAACAAAAGTCCCTAGAAGGCATCCAGTGTCATTGTGACAAAATAATGCCAATGGGAAACCTGTTCCCTGGAAGGAGGACAGGGTTGAAAAGCCCTAGAATCTTCTGACAGCAAGATCTTCTTGGAGATGGGATAGTCATACTTTCAAGTGTTCTAATATGGCCAGCTGGGGGTGGTAAACAGCAAAAGTTTGATTTCACTTTCATCCTTGGGACAAGTTAATTCCAGAGCCAGTCTGTACAGTGGAGGGACTCCATCAAGGGACTGGGAATAGATTTTTTAAAATCAGCTGAGATGACGGTACAGGCATTCAGCAGCTACCAGGCCAAGTGGCAACAGTGAATAATTAAAGCCAGAATTAATGAGCCTGATATTTGCTCACCCTATACATGAAAAACTTGCTTTTTCATACATATCTCTAATTAGCTTATTAGATAATCACGGTTGATCTGTAAAAGAACTGATTCTACTTTCATCTGCATTCCTCTGAGATATTGTCAAATGCGAACATTCACCATAAAGCTCATGACTGTGATGAGCACAGAGTAACTACCCACATACTTCACCTTCAGTTAGAGCACGGGGAGGCTCAGAGGCGAGGCTCCCAGGCACTGGGAAGGAATAGGCACTGCTGGCTGTGACCAAGGGAAGCGGACTCTTAGGGAAGCACTGCCTCAGGATCTGGAGCACAATGGAGATGACCGGTTCCAGACTTCTGTCATCCAGGCAGCTCTGAACAAAAGGAGGATCGCGTCAGACACTGACACCTTGAGTAGAGTCCTTTCGCTGTAACGGAATTTCCGGTAATGGACTGCACACAGCCTAGGTGGAGGGTAAGCATCCTTAATGTCGAACATCTAATCTGAACACTGTAATGGAGAATTATGTCTCACGTAGAGTCTGCTTTGGTCCAGTGTATAATCTGCATTTTTATTTCTCTTTTACAGCTCATAGATTATTGGAATGAATTTAGTCTGAAAATAGACTTGAAAGACTTTCAAGGGATGCTGCACCTAAGGTAAGACATTGTCCAGAACAGCTGAGGGAAGAGGAGGTAATGGCATCTTCCTTCAACCATCCATATGTCATTGTGAATTACTGCCTAAATTAGAGACTGAGTAGCTGAACTGATGGAAGCCCTACTTCTCTCTTTCAGCTATTATCTGAAGAGAAAGATGTAAAGGAGAAAGATAAAATATGAACTCAGAAGAAAAGACTAAGAGAATCCCAGGTACCTAAATTAAATAATAGCTTCTTTTCGAAGCCCACAGTGTGGATCCCTCCTGGTACCCATACAAAAGCAAAGGAAAATTGGGTTTGCAGCTGTAACATTTTGATACTGGTGGAACATGACAAGATCCTTCTTTTCAGACACTGTGAAAAACCTAAGAACAAGCTGACTAAACTGAGAGAAAGGGAGCAAGTTGAGAGCAGCCAGTATCTCTTTGGCAAAAACATGGGCATCTTCTTCCATCTCTTAGTAAGTGTTTTGCCTACTGACTTGGTACAGAAAGTTGACTGGTGTAAACCTCTAGCTTGGTCTTCCTATCTGAGCACGGGATGATACCAGCCAAGTGTCCTGAACCAATAGCAGAAAACACTCTCCATGGGAAAACAAATTCGTAGAGGCTGTTTCATTACTGGGACTGATCAAATGCGAAAAGTATTAGTAAAAAGGAAAAAGAGAGAGAATCAAGCCTGGAAGATGAAAAGAGGTGAGGCAGATGGCGGATCAGAGGTGATGCTCCGAGCTTCAGCCTTAAGAGGTATAGGGCCAAGTCCAAGCCAGGGAGCTCGGTCAAAACTGCCAGCATCTTGGAAGCCAGGTGTGTCTGTGACTGTCATTGGCAGTATTGCTACTGATGGTAATGATGACAATGTTTCCCATGGAGTGGAACGGTGCAGGTGAAAAGCAAGTGAAGAAAGGGTGTCAAGTCCAAGTGTCCTTGCTGGACTGGGCCACATCACGAACTGAATGTGGAGGATCGAGGGAGTATTAAAATCTACAGAAACCCAGGCATGAGGGATAACGCTGTATTTGGTGCCTGCTATGCTCTGGGGAAAACATTTATGAATTTAAAGATGATCCCTGAGTCCAAGGTAATAGAAATGCCTAGAGGTATTTGCCAACATTTCCCTACTATTAATGAATCTGCGTGGGCAGGGCCAGGGCTAAGGTCAGGCAAGGAGGTGCTCTGGACAGAAAATGCAAGGAGGCAGGCACTCTCAGGCTCCTGCAAGTGCAAGGTGGTCCAGAACAGATGTGGTGTAGCATCCATTTAGGAATGACTTACATGGAAGCGCCTTTGGTTTGGGACCTTCTGGTTCATTCTTTTTTTTTTTTTTTAATTGAGGTATAGTCAGTTTACAATGTTGTGTCAATTTCTGGTGTACAGCACAATGTCATACATGGATATACATATATTCGTTTTCATATTCTTTTTCACTGTAAGCTGCTACAAGATATTGAATATTTTTCCCTGTGCAACACATTCTTGCTCAGTCTTCCCTTCTGCCTGACTCTCCAAAATGTCTTAGTGGTCCCACTAGTTGGACACTGCTTTTCTCTCCCGTCAGTACCTCCTGGCTAGCTCCTTGCACCTCCCTGGACAGACCAAGTTGTTTCTCTCTGGATTTTCAAGGTGTTCTCCTGGCTTGGCTCAAATGTCACCAACTTCCTTCTTCGGTCAGCCAAGACCAGGCAGAGCCCTCCTTCCTCTGCATGGCTCTGCCAGTTCCTCTCTGGCATCCTACCCACAGCCTACACAGCACTTACCCCAAGTTCCCCTGTAGGACAGGGAGTTTCCCTGAGGATGATGGGAACTCTCATCACCTTCTTCTCTGAGCTCCCTATCTGACCTAACCCCAGCATCTTTCACAAAGCAGGAGCTCAGGAAATAGTTATTGAATAAACAGTAAATGATCTCAGATCAACCTGACCTCCAGAGTATCTCGCTCCTGATCCCAAGTGGGTACCATTCCCTTTAGGATTCAGCCCTTCCTTCCGCAGACCCACAATGCTGGGGTAATCAGTCCTGCGGACACAAGGGGTCCTGAGGAGTCCAGGCTTGTCTTGCCACTCTTTGAGCACATGGCAGTAGCTGCAACTTCTAAAAAGGCTACCCCAGCACATGCCAGTGGCTCTCAAAGTGATGGTCCCAGACCACTGTGTTAACATGACTTGAGAACTTGTTAGAAATGCAGACTCTTGTACCTCGACACAGATCTAATGATTAGAAACTCTGGGAGTGGGGTCCAGCAATCTGTGTATTAAACCCTCTGGGGGTTGTGACATGCCATCAAGTTTGAAAACCACCAATCTTAGTAATGTTCTAGGTATCTGAAGCTGTTCTAGGTCCAGAGAGTGGCCCCTTTACCTGATTATCTCACACCAAGTTTCTCCAAATTGATCTCATGCAAACTTCTCCAAATTGATAACTATCTCAAGCTACTTCAGGGCATCCTTGCTGGGGCTCTTTTTTAACCTCACATCTAAATTGCATCCTTCTTCCTCCTTCTCATCCAAAGCTCCAACAAGGTCCCAGTCCATTACACAGCAGCCTCACTGCATTATGGACAATCTGACCCTCTGAATGTTTAAAGGATGCTCGGAGGATCTGTGCAGGAATGAGGGACCCAGGAAACAAAGAGGCAGGGTCATTGAGAGAGAAATATGGGGAACAGGCCTCAGGAGAAAGGCAAAGAACTATATGATGGGCAAAGGCTGCAGGAAGAACTCGAAAATAGTTCTTTCTCAGTCACTCGCATGCTGAGTACGCTTGTAAATTACATCATAAACACCAATAAAAACAGGAGAGGACAGGGGTTTTCAAAGTGTGACCCCCAGCAGCACCAGCACCACTGAGGAACTTGTTAGAAATGCAAATTCGCAGCCTCCACCCCAGACCTGCTGAATCAGAAGCTTTGAGGACGGGGGCCCTGGCAGCCATCGAGGTGGCTCTCATCCCATTCAACTCCTTTTCAAATCCTTTATGATGCTGAAATCAGAGAGCCTGCATCAACGGCTAAGCCAGCCCTGCACCGTGATAAGCGCTCACTACAAATCTCATCTCCTCCTCTCTCATTTTTATCCTCTCTTCTCCTTCATCATCACTGTCATCACCATCAGCAGCTGAATTTGCAATTGCTACTGACATGACATCACGAACCCAAGGTTCGCAAGGTGGCCGCCCTGTGACTTGCGGGCCTCCTCTGGCAGGAGAGGGGAGAGGACGGGGGGCAGCTCGAACTCCAGCACAGCTGCAGCGGCGTCTGTGTGCAGAGCACTCAGCTCAGGTGCCAGGGGGGCCCTTCGGGCTAGGGAAACCGGGCCACAAAGCACAGGGCCCGCCTCCACTCACATCCTGCTTCCACTCCCGACAGTGATTAGAAGCCAGGAGCTCGCTGTAAATTTGCTCAATTGAGCAGTCAAGGTCTTCACTGACCAGCTGAGGAGCTGCGTCTAACAGCCTGCTTCTAGGCTCATGGCCCCTTCCTCGCCTGGGCTTCACTTGGCATCTTCTCCACCCTCCTCTTATCACAGACATGTACCTCTGGGATCGCTGTCTTCTCCCTTTATTGCTCTTTTAGTTTTAGTTTTTTTGTTTTTTTCTTCTTTTTTTAAAACTCAGAGCAGAGAAAGAGGCAATGATGTGGAAGGCAAGGGGCGAGGAGCTGGCTGAAGCACACAGCCAGGGGTGGGGGTGGGGGGTGGCCAATAGGCATCAGTAAGGCAGGGGGTGCTTCATGAGGGCTGGGAGAGGTCAGAGACTTGGCAGACACAAGCTTGCAAAGTACGGTGAAGCTTAGAAAAATGCAAAGCCCTCCCTCAGCCAGAGGAACAGAATGGAAAACGAAGCTATTTCATGACTGAGAAGCTCTGAAAGCTGTAATGATAGAGAGAAACCCAGAGGAGATAGCGGACAGAAAATTAGATATTGGTTTGCAGTGCAGTGTTATGTTATTGTTTAGAGGAGGGGAAAAGGCTATTTTTTTTTTTTTAAGTGGGAAGTGTCTACAGATACTGTGGTTGGAAAACTGCACTCTCCTCGGACGACTCCGGTAGAGAGAAAAATGGGAGGGTGTCCAGAGAGGAGCACCAAGACCAGTGAAGGGAGTGCAGAGACAGACCGATGTGAGGACAGCAAGGAGCAGGCTGTGTGTGGAACTCGGCTGCCTTGGCCCCAGGAGAAGGCGGCGGAGCAGATGACGGGACTGGGGAGATGCTCACGTCATTCGCAGAGAGGACAGAAGTAGCCTCGCGCAATGGTATTTAACTTAGCCCTAATCAAGTGAAATTAAGGAACTTGTGACTTAGGTTGAAATCCAGGAAACCCTAGCCACGCACTCCCTGCAGATGAGGGACAGCCCTAGCAGGTGCAAGTCCCTTTGCCCAGGTGCCCTTCCTTGCAAACTTGGCATGACCACCTCCTTCAACAAGGCAAGTCTCAGCTTAGGTGTCACCTGCTCAGAGAAGACTTGAGCTTTCTCTAAGGAACACCTTCTTTCTGGTCACTCTCTCTCTTGCCTTCTGGGATAGCCCGCACTCTGTCTGTGGAGTGTGCATCTACTTTTACTTTAAACTAAATAACCTCCACACTCCTTGGTCTCTCTCCCTGTTACCTTTCCGAGACAGCCCACATTCTGCCCATGGAGCGTGTATCTCCTAAGCCGTTTTCCCTTCTGAGTGAGGCAGACTGCACTCTGTCTATGGAGTGTGTCTCTCTCTAAATAAACTTGCTTTCACTTAAAAAAAAAAAGAAAAGCACGTTTCTGCACCTATGAGAGTCACTGCAGACCTAGGCCCTTACTCTACTGATTTCACAGAGGCATACGAAATTATCTTCTTCGCTGAATTCTTTGCTTCCTGAGTGTCTGACTCCCTGCTGTGATGTTTGCCCCCAAAGATCAGGGGTCTTATCTGTCATGTTTGCCACCACTAGATCCCAATAACAAATTATTATTCCAATAACTCCTCACACTCATGAAGCAGTTAAGTCATGGTATGTACCCTGCTAAGCACAAGACATTTTCATGTCAACTTGTTCAGGCCAAGCAAAAACCTAGATTCTTAACATATCCATTTTTTTGAAGAAGAAGAAACATGAGGCCCAGAGAAGCTGAGTGACTTCCCCAAAGGCTCACAGCTATAGCTGCCAGGGCTGGGATCTGAACCCAGGTTCTCTGGCTTTAAAGTCAACACTCTTAAGCACTGCACCACCCAGTGTGTACCCAACAACAAACGTGCATGGGATAAATGAACCGATCAACACACGTGTGAGTGAATGAATGAGGACTTGAATCCAGAACAGCTGCCCACAGAAGGCAGCTGAGGTTCCCCAGCTCTGTTGAGGGTGAGTCCTGAATGATGGCCTTCAGGAGTCATCTAGATGTCATCCAACTGCACAGGGAAGCCCCATGCTGATTACCTGTGTGGAGCTGAAGAGGATCTCCATGCCCTGAGCTGCCAGGAAGGCCTCCCTGCCAGACCGGAGGTTGGCAATATGCTTGAGGCAGAGCAGAAGCCCCCGGCGGATCATCACGTAGGAATTGGCAGTGTCGTGGCTGTGCCAGTCCTGATGCAGCCTGAGCAAGCTGGTGACGTAGCCTCTGTTCACGGCCCTGCGGCTGTTGGACTCTGAAACCAATAGGAAAGGGCAATGTCAATTACAGGCTCTCCTGGCCACGCCCACCTGACAATGTCCCAGTGTCCCTCCCACGAGATACTAATTAATTATAAAGGGAATAATAACTTTCCAGTGGAGAAAACTGGTGGATGTCACCTTAATCAAGTGATCAAAGTCAACAAGATGTAGCATCACTTCAGTATCACTTCACATCACTTCTATAGTATTCCTGCCCCAAATGCATAACTTGAATGTAGCCGTAAGGAAAATCAGCAAACCCAAAATGAGGGACATGCTGCAGAATATCTGATATGTACATCCCAAAACTGCCAAGGTTGTGAAAGGCAAAAAAAAAAAACAAACCAAAAACAAAAATCCTGAGGAATTGAGCTAACAGAGACTAAAAAGACATGGCACTTAAGTACAATATATAATTATAATTTAGATCCTGGGCTGGAAAACATTTTTTTCCTTTGCTACAAAAGGCATTAGTGAGGCAATTGGTAAAATCTGAATAAGGTCTGTAGATGAACCAACAGTATTGTATCAATGTTTATTTTTAGACTTTGATAAACTGTATTTATTGGAGGTGAATAGCCTTGATTTCAGCAAATTCACAACTGGACTATGTGAATGTCTGTAACTTATTCTCAAATAGTTCAGAAAAAAAGGATAATAGTGTTCAGGGGAGAGAGAAAGAAGGAGACAGAGAGGGATTTCTACTAGATTTCCATCCTCCTTGCCTAAATCTCAGCAGACGTGGGATACTGTCATTTGAGTTAAGAAACTATGAGGCTTAGAGTGGGAAGGAGAGGACCCTGAGTGAGAGACACAGACAGCATCTGGAAGGCTGTGCTGCGTAACCGATGTGTTGGGTATTTTCCCTTAAGAGAATGGAAGCCAGTTTGTGCATCACCAAGGGCTTGGCTCCACCCCAGAAAGGAACTCCTCAGAGTCAAGGCTACCCAACACGGTAGTGAGCAACCCGGCACTGACGTTATCTAGACAGAGGTTGGAAGTCCACCCCGCAGGGATGTGCGGGTGGGGCTTCCTCACATCTGACAGGGCGCGGTAACAGTGTGCTCTCAGAGTTCCCGTCACCTCTTCAACACCGTACCTTCTCTCTGTTAGATGAATGACCCTGATGAGGCCACCCGTGAAACCCATCTGATGGGATGGGTGGATGACTTCTTTCTTTTTCCTAAGATATAATGTAAATACTCTTTGAAAAAGCAAAGGGGGAAGAATAGTCCAAGATACCTCTCTCAACAGTCAACACATGCCACGTTTCATGTCAAACCCCTCCAGCTGCAGGGCTGGCGGACAGGTGTGTACCAGGTCAGATCCACCCAGAGGATGGCTGGTCCTCTCCGCTCCTGAGGACTAGGGGCACCTGCAGGACTCTAACCTGCTGGCTCTCAGACACAAACGCCCTCTGCCCTCTCACAACTGCATTTCCCTATTATCCAACCTGATCACTCTGGTTTATCAGACAATCTATGCTTCTGGCTGACTGTATGAGAGAGACCCCCGCCCCCCGCCCCGAGCTACAACTGGATAAACACAATTTCAGCCCAAGTCAGATTTTCCCCTAAAATCATTCCAGTGCACATGAGTTTTAAAAAAAAAAAAGGAAATGACTGCTTTTCCCCAAGGGTTTTCTCATAATATTAATGGAATTCTTTTTTTCTTTTCTGCTTGTTTGTCAAATTCTAAATGGTCAGGCTTGATTAAGCCCCACTGAGATTTTTGACCTCTTTGTGCAGTTACTTTTTTGGTTTTTTGTTTTTTTGGGTTTTTTTACTTTTTACAACGTTTCATTCAGCCATGACCCTGAACAGAGAGTGATGAGCTTTATTCATTCAGTGATGTGTTTGTGGAAGGTTTAAATCGCCTTCATTACCTCCTTTAATGCATTATTCTTTTGTACCAAAAATATTTCTCTCCTCAGCTGGTCCCAGCCACGAAGCACTGGAGTTCTTTTCTGCCTGAATGAGGTTCCGGCCTATCTAATATCTGATGTTTAAAAGAAAATTGAGGATTAAGTAGGAGGTATTAGAGAAAAGTATTGCCTGCTGAAAAGAGGAAAAAATGGCAAAATAAAAAAAGTGCTCAGAGGCCCCAGGGGCAGTGGGAGGTTAAGGACTTTTGTCTTTTATCTATTTTAAGGGTATGAGACTAATAATGTGTTATCCCCATGACCTTCATCCCCAACTTTTTGGGAGGGGAAGGGGGATAAAAGGGGAAAAAAAATCTTTAATTGTCTGAGAGAAAAATCCCTTATCAAATCCAACTGATTTTATTCATGATTTCCTGTTAATCTTCAACAAGCTATCATGTTTACTAACGTCTAAAACAGCTACCCCCCTCCCTGCCTGCATCCTAAATCAGTCAATCTTTCTCTGAGAACGGCTTGGGAGTTTTGCAAAAGTCAATAAGTATCTAAAATCCGATAAGAGGATATCCATCAAGGTGAGCAAATGTAGAGAGGAGATGAGGGTCCCTGGGGTCAGCAACTTGCAGGAGTTGGAGAAGATCTGAGAGGACGACACTGCTTCTCCAGGGAGGCCCAACAGAGAGGACAAAACGTGGGGTTTGTTTCCAACACTGTTTTGGGTGAGCTCAGGGTTTGGGGGTGGGAGAGGGCTCCCGGTCCCCAGCCCTCTTCCACATAGACCAGCAACAGGAAAGGTATAGCTCAGCAGGAGCGTGCTGGCCCAGCATGCACAAAGTCCTGGGTTTAATCCCCGGTACCTCCATTAAAAATAAACACATAAACCTAATTACCTCCCCCGCCCCCAAAAAACAAACAAAACAGAGCAGCAGCACCCTAGTCTGTTTATATAAACGGCTTCCTCCTAAGATTTTCTTTGGAAAAAAGTTCCTGTTCCTTAATTTTTTATTTTTAATTTCCTAAGTAGATTGATTTATCTTAAACTGGTTGGAAGATGAGTAGAATGGACAGAGAGGAGTCCGAAAGCCTTTCATTTAACGCCTCACCCCCAACCAACCTCTAGCCCATCTGAAGGTGTTCTCAATGCCCCACCACCACCGCCCTCCCTCCGTCTCCACATGCCCCTCCCTGGTGGCCTCCTGCTGAAAGTCTTATCTGGCCAGTTTACCTGTGGCAAATACACAAACACATCCTTGCCTTCACCTCGAATTAACCCTCTTATGTCCTACAGTATTCTAAATTACATCCTCCTGAAGACGTATGTGTAGCTAATTCTCTAAAATGTGATCCAGCGATACCCTTTTTACCCCAGGTCTTTCTTCACGGAGGTTAAAATGATTTTCGTTAGTGCATCCCCCACTAATGCAGCAGATTTTCACACTTGGGGGGAGAAGGACAAAAAAAGGAAGAACATATGCCAAGATATCAATAGTACTTACGAGGGAGGAAAATATTTATGGTTCTATTTGCTTTGGACTTTTTTAACTCGATTTTGACTTCTCTGTAGTTTTTATTCCCCACGTAGTCTGCAATGAACTTTGACCATGAGGAGGAAAAAGATAGGTTCCTCCTTGACAGGAAGTCCACAGCTGCAAATGCTTGTGGGCAGGATAAGCTGTCCCCAGGTTGCCATAGCAACCAGCTCACTTTTTTTTTTTTGTCTTACCCCATCCCTTTCAAAAGTGAATTACCTGCTCCACCCTGAAGGCATTTGAGATCATGCTCATCTCTATAAAGATGTGGGTCCTTTAACAGGAAAGCCTAGACATCTCCCAGACTCCGAGATTGGATTTCTCATGGGGAATTTTCAGCCCGCAAGAGGCTGGTGGAGAAATGTTTGGTGACCCAGATTATTGTATCCCAGCATCCCAACGCTCTCTGCTACTGTTATTTGTCGAAACCAGAGAACATTTCCACTGCTGCTCTTTGCTTCCCACATCTGAGGAGTTCATCACCTCTTTTAGGGTAAACTGAGGACTAAACGTGGGAACGGACAGCAGAGTCATGGGCAGGATGCTTTAACAACCACAGCCCTGGGAACGAGGCACCCAAATTAGTGCAGACCTCCGAACTCATCTTTCCCATGCCCGGCACCCTGCACCACCTTGCTGGGCAGACCCTTCAGCGGTCTTCCTGGAGTCCCTGCACATGGCCATGAGCTTCCACTGCTTTCTAGCTGTGTGACCTTGAGCATGTTACTTCACAGTTATTATCACTAAGCCTTCACATGAGAAAAAAAAAACGAAAACTAATACGAATCACTTCCTCCTGTAACTGTTGAGAACATTAGAGAGAATGCACATGAAGTAGATAGCTCAATGCCTGGCTCATGATAAGCGCTCGATACCAGTTGCCTGTTGCAGTGGTCATGATACGCGTCATCTATGCATTACCCCAGCTCCCCCTCTGTCATTCTGGACAACAAGGCGCCAAATGCTCAGGACCTGAACACGCTCCTCTGGACGGCCTCAGGCAAGAACAGGAGCTCCAGGGTCGCGTGGCTGCTCACTTGCACTTTGGCTCTACCATTTATCAGCTGTGTTACCTCGGTTACGTTACGTAGCCATGCTGGACTGTTATTTCCATCATGTGCAGATATGAAAGCCAGCTTTTAATAAGATAATTACAGCATCAGCCTTACAAGTCCTTGACAATGTTACGGAAACGACAGGCCAGTCAAGAAACAAGCACCACTCGGAGGGTTGGAGTACTTAGATGTATTACACTGGTGGGCTCAGAGGGGCTTCTGCTCCGAAGCTCTGAGCACCTCCAAGACGCGTGCGTGAGGTTTTATAGGGTAAAGTACAAGCTTGGGGTATTCGGCCAATAGGCATGGAACAGCTTTAGCAGCATGATCATCACAAAAGTGGAGGCAGGGAGGCAGCAAACCAACATTCCAAAGCCAGATATGTATCTTTGAAAACCCAGCTGGCTAGCAAAAAACATGAACAGCAAACTAACACTAATTAACTTAGATTTACAAGTTAGTCCAGCAGAACTCAGATCAGTATTCCGATACTTAGATTTGTGAGTTATCTTGTTAGACCAGCCCGGCTT